TGAAGGAATGGCATATTAAGATTAGTGCAAAGTAAATGACGAGAATACCTCAGATCTTCATTAGCAGCGTTGAAAAAGTAGTCTGTGAATTTAAAGCTTGGGTGGTCATAATCCGAATAGAGGTATCTCTGAATATATTCAAGTCGCATGGTGCTTCTAATATAGTAATAAATACACTATTCCTTAATTATTTTTTCATGCCTCCAATATCTTCAGCACACGAGAGTTCTTTCTAAGCATTCTTTGATTGTGAAATAAGTAAATACTGTGTATGTGTGCTTCAATAGTCTCCATTTGTACAAAGTTGGAAAGTTGTGACTAATAATTTAGTTTAGTTAATTTCAGAACCCTCTGGACGGAATCTTTTTGTTCTTTGCATGTGCTTAGAACTTTATTTGGGACATATGTACACGCAGTGGTTCAGAGATTCGATTCAAAATGGCCATCTGTTTTTTGTTCAAATTTGGTACATTCATTATACAATTTGGTAAAAATATTGTATTTTTCTACATAAAAACAAAAGAATTTCACAATGTCAAAAACGGAAAGTAATTATTATCATAGTGTTGTTAGTAATAGTTGAAAATGATACATCTACGTGAACCTGCTCATATGAAATTAAAGGAGTCTCTGTTTTCAACAGCCGTATACATCTAACTGCGCCATCGCCAAGTTTCTTTGGTGGACCACAAGCTCCGTCCTTGTTTGCACGTTATCATGTTCACACAATCGCAGACATTATTTGTAAGGGTGCCCTTTGAAATGGCACATTTTCTCGATGTCTTAGCGAGTACTCCGCGGGGTGTATAGCTTGTTCTCACATTAGCATAATTTTCCTTGAGTTCACTCATCGCTTTCCCACATGCATTTCTCGTTCTTTGCTAACTTTTTTTGCACTCCAATATGTTGTTGTTTTTGTCTTTCTAAACATCAAGTATATTTTTGATTGACATTCAACGAGACGTTTGAATTTTGAATTTGATGACGGTTCGAATTTATCCACTTTTACAGTGATCAATATTGCATTTGTGAGCGAAAAAACACGGTCGGAAAGCAACGAGCGGCCGGAAATTAAGCGATAAGCGGTCGGGAAAAAAATCGATAAAAGCGCGAGGTTGGGCGAAATGAGTACTGGAGCATTATACGTAGGGCTACTTATATTTCAGTTAAACGCAAGAAAATATTTTTTTAGCAAACGCAAATTGAAACAGATAACTGGCTTAAAGGAGCTTGAATGATAAACAAACAGACAAAAATATTATTGCAGCATGCATTAATTAAATAACATAAAAACCCACAATCAGTAGATAAACAAGCAGCCTATTGGCTGAGATAGCTCCGCTGTGCATTGCACATTGCAATTAAGAACTGAAGATATCATTAGAAAATGAACAATATGCATAGTATCAAAGCAATCAGACTTGCTGTTTTTTTTAACTAGAATTCAAAAATATCACTTTTCACCACATTTAGTACTTATACATTTAATATCAAAGCGATTGGACTTGCGGTTTTCAACAAGAAGTCGAAAATATCACATTTTAGCAAAAAATACAAAAATATTCACCAAAATTAGAGAATTGAACATATCATCATGAAAAGAACAAATCTGAGAGAGGTCCACAGGTAGTACCTATATGTATAATATCAAAGCAATTAGACTTGTGGTTTTTAACAAGAAGTCGAAAATATAACTTTTTACCAAAAATGACAAAAATATTCACCAAAATTAGAGAATTGAAGATATCATCATGAAATGAACAAATCTAAGAGAGGTCTACCCAAGGTACATATACACCAAGTATCAAAGCATTCAGGCTTGTAGTTTTCAAGAAGAAGTTGAAAAAGTAAAACATTGACACGAACGACGACGGACAATCACTCATATGATAAGCTCCGCTCGACAAAGTCGACAGCAGAGCTAACAATTTGAACATATTCAGTCAAAGCAAATCAGAGATATGGCACAAGAACCACATTCAATAAAACAAAATGGCTGCCCGTCGGCCATTTTGAATCTAATCTGAAAAACAAAATTATTTGCATCAAGGTCCCATAATGTCTAATGTATATACCAAGTTTGAACAAAATCAATTTGTAAATAGCCGAGAAGTGCTTGATTTTGAAGCACAAAAATGACCGCCATTCGGCCATCTTGAATCCAATCATGAAACAAATTGATGTGTATACGTATAATATCATGTATGATGTATGTATGAAGTTTAATTGGTCCAAGCATTTCTAAGATATAGGTATGGACGCATGCACGTACACACACACACACACGCACAAGGGTCAAAACATAAGTCCCTGTTCGGACGAAGTCCGAAAACGGGTCATGCATGGCACAGTCTCTGTTAGTTATCAAATTTAAAATATATAGTTTTGTTTATAGTACCATAGTTGGAACATAAACATGTCAGAAGTATGCAGGTAAATGTGTCGTTACCTACCATGAGTGATGTCTATAACAAGTTTGACCGCAATAAGCCCTGGTATGCAGGTAAATGTGTAGTAACCCAGCATGAGTGATGTCAATACCAAGTTTGACTGCAACCAGCCCTGGCAAGCAGGTAGATGTGTTGTAACCCACCATGAGTGATGTCTATACCAAGTTTGACTGCAACCAGCCCTGGCATGCAGGTAGATTTGTTGTAACCCACCATGAGTGATGTCTATACCAAGTTTGACTGCAATCAGCCCTGTCATGCAGGTAGATTTGTTGTAACCCACCATGAGTGATGTCTATACCAAGTTTGACTGCAATCAGCCCTGTCATGCAGGTAGATTTGTTGTAACCCACCATGAGTGATGTCTATACCAAGTTTGACTGCAATCAGCCCTGTCATGCAGGTAGATTTGTTGTAACCCACCATGAGTGATGTCTATACCAAGTTTGACTGCAATCAGCCTTGTCATGCAGGTAGATTTGTTGTAACCCACCATGAGTGATGTCTATACCAAGTTTGACTGCAATCAGTCCTGTCATGCAGGTAGATTTGTTGTAACCCACCATGAGTGATGTCTATACCAAGTTTGACTGCAATCAGCCCTGTCATGCAGGTAGATTTGTTGTAACCCACCATGAGTGATGGCTATACCAAGTTTGATTGCAATCAGCCCTGGTAAATTTACCTGCTAAAGCTGGTAAATCAATTTACACTATGAAAAATTACTAGGAAATTACTAGGCAGATTCGCCTATTCACATATTTCATACCCACCATAGACTCCGGTCAGTCAAAATGACTATTTTGAACTGTAGGCATTAATCAGAGATTCTGCCAATGACGGAGAGATAGAATCTAGGTCAGGGGGAGCCCCATGACCCTAAGATTCTCTTTCCCTTACGTCACGAACCACGTGACCGAGGCCATATGGCAGCACCATAGATGGCTGTACAATCACTCTTTCTTTTTCTCCGCATCGACGGGGATGAAGTTTTAGCGGCTCTGCTGGATCGCCTGCTTTTTTTTTCCTGTCTGGGTTTCTAGCTTGGGCTAAACGCAATATGTATGTACCAATACATAATTACAAACCCCTCAGTAATAAGACAAGTAACGTCAGCAAAGACGTTTTCCGATTTGCCACCTTATAGCTACATTATAACCAAAGACAAAGATAGATATCAAAGACCATTATTTTATCTATATTTGGTTTTATCTGTGTGTTTATTCTATCAAATAACTGGTCGGCAACATCAAATCTACATTGATAACAATATGTGTGTGTCATCAAACTAATATACAACACAATAACTTCCACTGTTACATGCATTCACTTTGTATATTCATGTGTGCGTTCAACTAATACATTTTCATCATTTGGATGTTGACATTTCACAAGAATACATTCTATGAACTTTTTTTGAATTATGAATACAACTTTCCCATATATTATGCCTTCTGGTCCATGAGCACTTCTATGGTGTAAATGTTCAAAGGCTATTCCAAATGCTGATAATGTTTCGATCTGTACTCGACTATTAATGAATACTGTTTTTAAAAGCTAAACTATATTCTAGATGATGTAAGAATAAACATAGTGAATTTATAGGAATGGTCTATTATTTGTCTTAATTCACTGCTGGAATAATTTAGCATTTGTCTAGTCAGACAGATATCTGACTTTACCAGTGACAATAGTGACAGTGACGTCATAAACTATTCTAATATATTCTAATTCATGAGTGAGCAATTCACAGGTGCCTACCAAACCAAATGTTTCATTCAGATTTCAAATGAAAACAGTTGGGTTTATAAATATGTATAGTATATTTATATGTACATGTACAAATATGTTTTATTGGCATACAAAAACAACAAAAGAAACAAATGCAATTAAATACATTTTGTACTGTGTTTTTTATTGTTTGATGTATAACCATTGAAATATTCTAATTTTTCTGTACTTCAAAATCATGGAAGGGTAGATATAAAAACATCATGTATTGTAATTTTCATGCAAGTCAAAATGATATATTATTACCATTTCAACAATTATATGAAAGTATGAAAACACTTTATAAAAAGTCATTCTATACTGGAAAACACAAACAAACAAATATCCTACTTTTAACATCCAGTGTAAATGAAAAGTAGAAAAAAACACTAGAGGAATCACAGTAGTAGTATGTCGAAATAACTAAGATAAAAAAAGGTAACATTGGCCCAACAAGTTTCAGCAATCTTTCTTTGGAAGGAATTTGACAGGTTTAGAAAAAATACAAACATATTTCATACTTGGAAAAATAGCCATGTATAAACTGTGCAAATGAGCAATACATAGTGCAGTGATAACAATTTTATAAAAAAAAATTAAAACAAGTAAAAACTATTAAAAATATACTAAATAATAAGAATGCTTATTGAATTTTCAGGAAGCACCATAATAAAAGTTTTGTAAGAATTTTTGAAATCAAGTCAGTGTAACTAAAATCAGAATATCAAGGATCTGGTAAAACATTTTTTTTTACAAATGAAACAAACAACAACATTATGGTTACTTTTTTCTTCTTCTCTTCTTCAATTTACTCAGTTGCTCTATGATTTGTCTTGTATTGCCAAAGTGTCTGATCATAGTTCTCTGCGCTTGCTCATACTGCTCTGCATTTTCAGTCTGAAAAGAAGAATAACTTACTATTAACACAACAACTGCAAAATGTGATGGTGAAAAAACAGCATCAGAACCAATGTGTTAAAGTTAAAATAATCCAGTGTTATTCTTTCACCTTACTACTTTTCTTTCATTACTGAAGTTGAAAACTGGTTACTGTAAAATACTTTATTTTCACTTATAATTAATTTTCGCTGAATCAGTGATTCAATTAAAAATAAAATTCAGCGAATATACCCGAAAATAAATTCCATAAAAAACACCGAAAAAGTCTTTTCAGCAAAATATAATTGCAGCTAAAATAAAGTATTTTACCATATGTGATGTATTTTATAGCTACATGTATGTTTATGATTGATTGATTGATTGATTGATTGATCACTCTACTATCACTAAAGCATATATGTACTACATACAAGTTCCAACATACAAGGTATTTCCATACACATGTACACAATGACATACCAATTGTGTGTGTAGTTGTTCCAGCTTTCTCTCCTTTTCCTCTTTAGTCTGTCTAAGTTTATCAGCACGTTCCTATAGCAACCAATACAGGCATACAGTAAGCAGTGGCCAAGATTTACGTAATGTAACAGTGTTGCAAGACATATATACATGGAAATATAACTCAATAATGCATGGCAGTTACTACTACACTATAAAGTAAATAGACAGCACCATTTCAGCATTTTTTTCATTAATTGTACATGTATCTCACAAGTGTACACATATACTATACAAAGGTATCATAAACAAATAGAATAGTGCCGGTCGCCAACTTTTTGTCCTGGTCGGTAAATCTGAGTGTCGATCGCTAACGACCAGCGCGGGCAGATCCCTGCTATACTGTACATAATAAAACAACAAAACTTTTTTATATATTTAAAGATAAAAGAAACTTGCTCCCTAAACACCATACTTAGCTAAACTGGTTAGAGTTTTAAGAAACTAAAGAGGTACACTTCTTCCTCATCAGCTGAATAACCCTACCCCTCTTGGGTTTTGGTATAATTCCCAAAGCAATTCAGTTGACAGTCAAATACTGTGGCTTGGAGCAACCTTTCATAAAATGAAAACATTATTGTTCTGTAATTACCTGTCTTCTGGTGACTTCTGATTCAGAAAAGTATGCAGGACAATGTTTACTGACTCTAGTATGACCTTTACCCTTACAGTTACCACATGTTGTATTTGAAAGTCTGTCTTGAGAACCAGTAATAGCACTAGGAGACTGTGCAATACCACTACTGTATACAGATGATGTCTGGCTATGATTGACAGTAGCTGGGGACTTGTTTGGTGTTAAATGTGAAGTAGATAACTTTGGTGTAGATGCTGTTGGACTAAGACTGGATACAAATAAATAAGGAAATAAATAACTCATGCTCTTAAATAGACATTTTATGAAACCTCTATTATAAAGTTTAACTAAATTTATATTTATAATAAATATACTCAGTTTAGTGTGTCTGCTAGTGCAGCATACATGTACTTACAGATGGCCAACGTCTGGCAGGTAATCATCGTCGTCATCATCACTGGAAATACTCCTAGCATTTGCTGAAGGTTTTAATGATGACAATGGTGTTATGTTTGCAGTGGGTGTTACAAAGGCTGATGGTCGACTAGGTGTTGATGATGGAATTCTAGACGAATAAGAACTTCCTGCACTGTGAGATGGAGCTGTAATTAATACAAAAGTCAGTTTACAGAAAATATGTCACTGTTATTTATATAATAATAAATAATATTTAAAGGTATACTACAATACCATTTCATTTTACACACATATTTCACTTTGACAACAAAAGTGTCACAAACACTTGACCTTGATGTTCAGGTTGAAACTTTTGGTATTGTGTAACACAAATTTGACTTCAAATATGAAAGAGATCAACCACAACTATGGTTACATTTCAAGTAATAGAATCAAGGCTACAATTTACGCTGACATACCAGAGTGTGTTTGGGAATTCTTTCCTATTGGTGTCATACTGTTCTTTTCACGTTGAAGCCTTCTATACTCCTCAATCTGGATAATAAATATTCATCAATTAGAGGTTAGAAACATTGAGCGAGGGAATTAGGTAACAGACATAGTCAAATTTAGCATATTTGGTGAGTAATAATAACTGAGCATATGCTAATCACAGATCTGATGCCTAGATTCAGACTACTGTTACTGAAATTACTGCAGATGTTTATTATCCAAATAACAAGTCATTGTCAATGTTCTATTTCACTTTTTAGTGACTGTGTCAATCAGCCCACAATTCTTGAGACACAGTGAGTGTGGGACAAAATTTGCCACCAGTCAAATGTCATCAAAATGCAAAACAAATTGATGTGCCTATGTCTTGTCTTTGTACTTGCTTTCATCAACAAAATTAGTCAAATGAAATAGTCTTGTAATAGTATTAGTGTCATACTAAATTACTTTGAATTGATATAATGTGCATAGAAAAGACATGTCAGAATTACAGCATTTCATAAAACAATATGGCAGCCAGTCAGGGGACTATGAATCCAATCAGGAAAAAAATTTACTTGCCTCAAGGTCAATGATGTTCATTGCATAGACCAAATTTGGATTCAATCAGTTAATGAGTAATTGAAATTCATGTATGTGAGAAGTATAAACTTCATTGGATCAAACATGTGTGAGATATGGCTCTGTGGAACTGCATTCATTTGAACATGACCACCAGTCAGCCATTTAGGTGTGAAGTTTAATCTTAATCGGTGAGGCATGGTTGATATATGGATCTGGAACTGCATTATTTAAAACAAAATGGTCACAAGTCAGCCAATTTTAACCTGATTCGAAAAAATAAAACGACTTGTATCAAATTAACGTATGTACCAAGTTTTTAAACTAAATCTGTCCACACATGAAAGAAATCTGGTTTTGGAATGGTGAAACTGCATGTGTAAGACACATACACACACACACATGTCCATATGAATATGATTACATATGAAAGGGGACTTCCAACAGTATTAAGTATACTACTTGTGTACACATTTTCAACTGAATCAGGCAATATACAAGTGAGGAATCGCTATAGACATGAATAAAAGCAAAATTGCTTCCAATATGACATGCACCTGTGAACCAATATGCATGGTCCAAGACCTCATGCAAAGTTTGAATAAGAACCCGCTGTTTATCTCTAAAAAATGGTTCCGGACACGGTTAATCATGACAAATTTGATGACCTAAAATGGTCGTCAGTCAGCCATATATTTTGTGAATGACAAAGATAATGTGCAAGCATATCTAAGTCACCATATATTGTCTTTATGTGAAGTTAGATCGTAATCGGTCAAAGCATGTCTGCTTACCTGGTTTTGAATTCTCATAGATGCTACCTTAGATTTACTTGGTGGTTTTCCAGTCAAGGCATTTGAAGACATAGGAGTGATGCTATAACTGTCTCTACCATTGATATCACAATGGTATTTCACAGCTACCTCAAAGTCTGTGTCTTCTTGCGCCTTTGATGTACATGTAGATTCTACATTTGACTTGAAATGAGTTGGTGTTCTAGGAACGTTCACTGCATTATCCCTCGCAGCAACGTCTATCAACTCTTGCCACGGAACATTAGCGTCTGATTTCTCTATAACATTGACTACTGTATTTGTACCCATGCTCTCCTTGACATCATTGTCAAACTGTTTCTGTAGCTTCCTGGCATATTCTTCATCAGACTGTTTATGCAAGTCATTCATACTCAGTTTCAAAGCAAGAGCCAATTCAGGACCACCATCATCACCCACAGTTTGTGTATTCCCATTAGGATGTTTTCGTTTCTTTGGAGATTTTCTAGCAGGTCTCCTTGTAGGGTTCACTACATTGACATTTGTGATAAGATTTACTTTTGGAAGACAGATCAAATGTTCATCAGACTCTGTTAAGTCAATGGAATAACTCAAGGATTTATTGAGTTTTACATCTTCTTTACGTCCTGCTTTAGAAGAATGTACTTTGACTGGTTGATCATCTTCCAGTATGTACAAGGATTCTTGAGAATCAGATTGTTCCTGAGAATCATTCTGAGAGTCTCTGGTTAGATCAACATCTCCAATAAAAGCAGTTTCCAGTTTTACTTTATCTGTAAGTGTTTTCATGTTTATATCATGTTTGTGCTTACATTCCTTGCCAGTAATGCTATCTTCTTTGGCAGTGTATGATCCTAATTCAGTTTCAGGTTCCTCTTCTTGTGTGTCAATATCCATCATATCTTCTTGCATGGTATCATCATAGATGTGAGTGTTCGCAATGTAGTTTTCATCTATTGCTATGACAGCATTTTCAATCACTGGTTTTGCAGCTAGTGTTCCTGATTCTGTTTCAGGTTCCTCTTCATTTGTGTCAACATCAATCACATGTTTTTGCATGGTATCATCATATATAAGAGTGTCTTCATCTGTTGCTATGACAGCATTTTCAATCAATAGTTTTGCAGCGAGTATTCCTGATTCAGTTTCAGGTTCCTCTTCTTGTGTGTCGACATCCATCATATCTTCTTGCATGGTATCATCATAGATGAGAGTGTCTGCATTGTCTTCATCTATCTCTTTAGCAGTGTTTTCAAGCAATGGTTTGGCAGCGTTTTGGTCAGAATGTCCAGACGAGTTAGCAGTGTTGTGGTCAGAATGTCTAGATGAGTTGGCAGGGTTGTTGTCAAAATGTCTAGATGAGTTGGCAGTGCTTTGGTCAGAATGTCCAAACAAGTTGGCAGTGCTTTGGTCAGAATGTCCAGACAAGTTAGCAGTGTTGTGGTCAGAATGCCTAGATGAGTTGGCAGTGTTGTTGTCAGAATGTCTAGATGAGTTGGCAGTGCTTTGGTCAGAATGTCCAGACAAGTTGGCAGTGTTGTGGTCAGAATGTCCAGACGAGTTGGCAGTGTTTTGGTCAGAATGTCCAGACAAGTTGGCAGTGTTGTGGCCAAAATGTCCAGACGAGTTGGCAGTGCTTTGGTCAGAATGTCTAGATGAGTTGGCAGTGTTGTGGTCAGAATGTCCAGACAAGTTGGCAGTGCTTTGGTCAGAATGTCTAGATGAGTTGGCAGTGTTGTGGTCAGAATGTCCAGACAAGTTGGCAGTGTTGTTGTCAGTATGTCCAGATGAGTTGGCAGTATTTTGGTCAGTTGAAGTCTTCTGGTCCGAATGTTTAGGAGACTGGGTAGTACTCAAATGGCGAAGCTTTTGATGATTAACATACACCTGACTAGCTGCAACACCAGCACATGGCAGATGTGGAACATCACAATCTAGTTTATGATCATTACTCATCTTACTTGCATCATTCAGTGTTCCATCAATCGTTGTCTCTTGTAAACTCAATGCTAGTGCTTTCTCTAAATCATCCTCTACTTTAGCTTCATGCTGACATTCCTTTAAACTTAACTGAAGTACTTTTTTCAATTCTTCATCTTCATCCTCTTGGCTTACATTCAACTTAATTCTGGATTTCTTTTTTCCATTTCCCCCATCTGGTGTACCTTTTCTTTTCTTACTACTTCTGAGGGTTGGATTTTCTTTCATCTCCCTTCTTACATATTTACCACTAGGAGTTCTATATCTTGATGATCTCTGAGTCTTTAGTGACTGTGTTTCTGTGAGTGTGTTAACAGGTGTTTTGCATCTTTCCTGCGGAATGGAATCTGGGCAATCATCAACTGTTGTAGCAGCCACATCATTTAGGGTTTTACCGTTTTTCGGTCTCCTCATGGGTTCTTTCTGCCGTGTTTGGGTTTCCTTTGCATTTGTTTCAAGTGCTAAGCTGATCTCTTCATCTTCTCCAGTGTTATTTTGTGTACTCAGTGCCAGCGCCTAGTGTAAATGATTGAGAAAGAGGTTGTTTTATAATTTCTTTACATGAACACACTTTTTATTTTTCTATATATGATTAGGTTGACACAAGCAATATTTTACACAAAGCAGTCAATTTGCTGTATACCATACTTAATACTAACATGGCCAAATACTAATTGTAAGACACAATATGTAATCAGCAGTGTTGATTCAATGCAGCAGATGCTGAAGCAGCAATACCTTTATCTGTTAAAGTAGAAAATGAAAAAAATGTACTCTGGATATAGAGTATCACTTTATTTGCATACTAATTGCCTTATTTGCATACTAATGATATTTGGTAGTCGTGCATTTCTCACCCATTGAAGCATAGCCTCTTCGGTCTGTGAGTCTGGAGCATAGTCACCTGTTTCGATGGTTGACACAACCTCAAAACTTTTATTCCTATTATGGTTGTTTTCATTCTGTTCTCTCAAAGGATGGATGGCAGGATTACAATTGGTGTTATCATCATTATCATCAATGTAACTAAGTTGTAACTGACCAGATGGTGATGCTGCAGGAAATACACAGTAGATAAATATAGAGTATAATAAAAGTAATACAATGACTTCATAAATTAATGTATTCTTGTTTGATGAAATTGACAGTGATTTGCAACAAGTTAATTGGAATAACATGTACGTACAGGAGACTGGTATATTGTGATACTTTTCATACATCTTCTGTACTTTGTTTGTTTCCTCCACTGTCTCAGTTCTACATACATGCAATCCCATATGTACCTGCAGGTGAAGAATGCATTGTAATATATTCAATGTAATAGCACGTACTTTTAAAACATAGGAAAATCATGTCACGACATGACAGAGACTGCGTTGTTCGACAGTAAACAAAACTGAGTCAGCCATTTTGAATCAGAACAAATTCATGTTATGGTATCATGTGCGTGGTATCATAATGAAGTTGTAAAGTTTGATTGCAATGAGTCAAGGCATGTCGAAGATATGGCTCCAGAACTGTAATTGTTAAAACCAATACAAAATTGAATCTGAAAAACAAAATGACATGCATCAAGGTTACATTAAGATTAATGTGTGTACCAAGTTGAATGAACCAAGATCCAGTTCTGCAATGGCTGAAATGCTTGATTTTTATGAATTCTAAGCATGAAAATGTATAATATATGTATGAACTTTGAATGTGATTGGTCCACAGATGGACGCACAAGCAAGGAGGTCATTTGAACAGGGACAAATAAGATGACATACAAGTGTAGCTGTTTTATAAAAAAGCAAAACATATGCCTAATCATTATGCATGTAAACATCCTGATCAGAGAAATCAGGGTGGCATTTTGCTAACTTGAGATCCAGCCTAATGAACACTACTTTGCTCACAGTGTTTGTGACAAATCTGAGCGTCTAATGTCTACATGTCGGGTGACTAATCCTCACAAAGAACCCCAGTGATGTCAGTCTGAGTGTAACAAGTTGATCTATAGCAACCATCTTGTTTTCTGACACATGGTCATCCACTGCTGAAGATTCATGATCAGACGTAACAAAATGTTTTGATAAATCAGTAAAAAATCCAAGCGATTCCTGAAATAAAATGGTGCTAACGGAATATTGAGCTTATTTATCCGGGTAAGAGCCCATGCCCGGGCAAACGCCCACCCCCACTTTTGACACAATAAAGAAGTTGAGGTCATATCCGGGTATACGCGCAAGCGGTCTTTTTCTACACAAAAAATAACAAAAACCTATTTTCTATTAGTTGACTGTGATTGTATTAACAGTTGCAGTCTGTTGTGATGCTTATAAACATTCTTTAAAAAATAATTGTTAATTGCATAAAACAAGGGGTTAATAGCTGTTTAGGTAATTTTGCTTTCTGTCTTCAGGGTAGCTCGTTCACCGCTGGTTTACATTTATTTTTCAAGATTTTTTTTTCAGAATCATAACAGTCAGCAAGTAAATGTATATTAAAGCAGAAACAGTAGTTCTGTTTTTGAAATATGTCATGGCCCTAAAAAGGGCCTGCTGTTTGGTTTGTGCTTCCTTAAAAACAATTCAAGCAACTCGTATAAGGAGAGCTGCGAAGTAAGTCGCACTCGGTTGGCCGAAGTGTCATCAACAATTAAACCAATGTTGCAATATTGTAGCTGCCCATACTGAGAGAGTGGTTGAAATCACGTTATTTTGGCTTTATAAAATATTTGGTAGCAGCTAGCGTATGCATAACTGGGGCCAACAATGGTACAATGTCACGCCGAAGACTGACAACTTTTTTACCATCTTTTATCACCGCTATTGCATTTCTGTCATGAAAACTATTCTTCTGTCGTTAATAAAAAAACTTCCTATTTCAAGCCCAACGTGATATTCATATAGTGAGACATTCCAACCGCCGGAACTTGCTGAATGATAACTTTCACCATGATTGATAAGTGTTGAGTCTGATAAGGAAGCAATGTCACTAGTAGTGATGTCATTCTTAGCCAATCAGTAAAACAGATGCATAAAGGTCAAAGATGATTGCATTGTGTGCCATCGCAGCAGAGAGACCCCATTTTTCTTGTCTCGTTATTGTGATTAGACATGCATGAAAAGTGCCAAGCTGACAGACTGCGAAATCCTTGGATTAAAAGTGCTAAGTCCAAATTGTGTGGGAGGATATCGATGAACTTCAGGACGAAGCTTTTAAGGATTTTGTTCGACAGCTACAGTGACGCCGACTTGGCCTTTGCCAGTTAATGCCCGAAGTCCCAGAAGAGACCCGATGCAACTAGCCTGAGCCTCGGCCTCACCCAAATCAGCGGGAGAGTCGCGGCTGGGAACGGGGGATTCCCCAGAAGAGACATGTTTTGAATGTGAGCGATGCTTTCGTGTTTCTTCCTGCATGCCCACCGAGGGGCCGCAGTGGAGACAGCTCGCTCCAACTGCGTCTGATCTACCCGGCCTGCCAGGGATGCAATTTGCCCCGACAGTCCTTCGACCAAAGCCCTCATCTCGGAGGCAAACCTGGCGCCGTGCACGAACGGATCCACAAAAGGACCCGCAGTGGACCCCATAGGAGGAAAGACCTCCAGGGGCACAGCCTCAATGTAAATCAGGTAAACCACCGCCTGAAAACACAGACTGTGAGGATGCCCACCATCTCGGTACACAAAGTACCAGTAGCCGAGCGTAAGGACTTTCCACTCATGCCAAACAAGCAAATCACTTTAACCGATTTTTACTGGATGCGCGACCTTGCTGTGAAAATACGAGCGACGCGATCAGTCTCAGCGATTTGCATGGCTCTGAATAAAACATCTCAGGCCTCAGAACTTCAGTGAAAACATGCCTTCAAGGCAAAAACCCTGAACCCCGCACGCAACCACGGCAAAAAATAGCATTTCGGATGCGGGTTCTATGCTGGTAAATTCTGATTATAACCACTGCACAGACGACTCGAAAAACAAGAAGACAAAAACAGCGGCGGGCCTCTGGTGTTGTCATCACATCTATCCATTTCTAAATACAATGATCAAGCATAAAATGAACATGACATGCATAAGGAAAGCGAAATACAGTGGAAAAGGTGATGCAACGAAACCAACAAGTGATTAAGTTACGTCGCTGGGTCTTTTTGTCACTTTGTTGTGAAAAATGATACACACAAAGAAAAAATCAACACGTGGGGAAAAATGACAAGGAAAACTTATCCTACCAGCTACAATGTCTGTTACTGCACCACGACAACAACCCAAGCCAGAAACCCGACAGGAAAAAAAAAGCAGGCTATGCAGGCAGAGCCGCTAAACTTCATCTCCGTCGATGCGGAGAAGAAAGAAGAGTGAATATCCAGCCGTAATGGCGCGACCATATGGCCTCAGTCACGTGGTTCGTGACGTAAAGGAGAAAGAATCTTGGGGTCATGGGGGCTTTCCCTGACCTAGATTCTATCTCTCTGTCACTGGCAGAATTGCTGATTAATGCCTATAGTTCAAAATAGTCATTTTGACTGACCGGAGTCTATGGGGGTAATTAAACGTAGTGAATTTTAAGGGTTTTGAGTGTGACGATGATGGCAGTGAACGTATAAATAAAGATCTGAGAAGTTTTTTCAAACAGCTATGAATTTTTATAATTTTGACTTTGTAAATTTGTAAATTATTATTGATCTTGTGTGACAGTTGATCCCTAATTTGTCGAGACCGGAAATAATTTTACACAGTTTAACCCCTGACATTTTAGTTAATTTTGAGTTCACACGTATTGGGTGTGTTTGTCGGAAGGGAAATCCTAATTCAAATGATTCCTCACTGTCGATTTTTATTATTTCTGGTTTATTTGTCACATTCTGGGTAATAAATTATTTTTGTTTTACTTCTAATGTTGCATATTGTTCATTTATTTCTGTTGCATGTTTTCATTTGCCGTTTTATTCCCTGCCTCAGTTCGATTTTCGCAAATTTTCTTTTTTTTTTGCAGGGGATATTCGGGCAAATACCCACCCTATTTTTTGGCAATTTTCCATGTTCAGGACCCTGGGGCTCTTACCTGGATAAATATGGTAATCACTAAGCTTTTAAAAAAAAGTGATTATCCATAGAATCCAACATGGTCAGTTGGTCAGCTATGAAGAATTGGTTATACCGATAGTAGCACCCAACCACCCTATACTTATAACTTGACATTGGGTATTGTAAGCTGATGCAGCGTTTATGAAAAGCATATTGCATGTGAGATTGACCAATTAACAGAATGAGATGTAGGGAAGAATTAATAATAATAATATTAATAATAACCAGAAAAACAATTTTCTTGGTACATCCCTACATTCTTGCATAGTAATGAGGGGTTCAGACACATTCCAAGCTGAACAATTTTCTTGGACTAGTAACAAAGCTGGTCAATCCTTTCCCAGCAATAATAATAGAGTATATCACTATAGTTACCTGTAACCATAGTTGCCAATAGGAGAATAAATCCCAATGAATCAAGTCATGAATTGATGGAATTAACTCGGCATTTACCATCTCTGACAAAAAAACATTATAGAACAGGAAATACTAGTAAATTAGACATAAATATATACACTGTGCAGTATGCTAAAAACACTAATGGTAAATATATTTGTCATTTTAAGTAAAGCATGATATTCTGGGTCCTAGAGCAGACATTGAATTTCCTACAAAAATACAAACCAAGGGCTAGACACTAAAGGTTGTCCTATATGCTGCATTGATTATCGATAAGGTTATGGTTGGTTGTGAACTCATTGCAGGAATCAATTCGTTTTTTCTCAGAGTAAATAAAGCACAACTTAATTGTAGGCTTGTCATTGTCATCGATTTTTTCTGTATTCGAGTTGAACAACCACTTGTATGAGCAGCAGAAAACATATTGCACTAATTCAGGCTATTCCTAATATGAAAAATTTTGATGACAGTTTGTAAACTGACTTTTTTGTTTAGTTTTGGTGTAAACATTTCACAACGCCAAATAACCATGGATTGATTTATCACATTCACATAATCTGTTTCATAAAACCACTTTAGAGAATAATCAGTCAAGACATTCAATGGATGCAGACAGACAAACATGGAAAACTCAAGAAACACTGCTACATGTATAGTAATATACATAATTTGAAAAATTTAATAATACCTGAGAATTCAATGACATCAATGACACTATTACTTTTCACATTAACATTTGCAGCTTCATGACAGATTATATTAACACTTTTTTTGAGGGATGATATAAACATCTGTTTCTTTAATTTTCAGAATGGTTGGGCCGAAAATAGTTAATAGACTAGTCTAGATAAACTTGCTAACATATTACTGAATGGGGTTGAAATATATAAATCACCCAGTAGGTAATATATGTCACGTACCTTGTGCTGATAAACCTGGTGTTTGTTTATTAATCAAAGTAAACAGAGCTCTATCCAGGATTCTTTGTCGTGCCTGTTAACAAAACACCCATGAAAACCATTAACCCAATTATAGCTGATTACTCAAAGGTGTCCTCTATCTCAGGTCATTCCAAAATGGTATTATTTCCGTTTTCCCAGAATTTATGATTAAAATCTTGGCACAAAAGACTTATATTTTGCATTACACAATGAAATATTGATGTTACTTTAATAGGACTCACCATGTTGTACTCTCTCAATTTATCAATAATTAAAAGTGATCTGTTGCCATGGTTACGGTCTCTGATTTGCACAGTTGGAATATCCTCTTTGACTGCATCACCAAATTTAGTTTGATTGTGATAATCACTGAAAATAAACATACATCACAAAAATACATATACATTGCATACTGCAGTACTCAACATAAACATTTGTTGGCGGTATAGAACACTAGAAAATGTCAAACTTAGACTGTATTACAGTACAAACATACCTAAATATCATATCAACAAAAGTCCTTCCATTCAACTTGTATGCAATACCTAGTTAAGAAATCATAGAAATAATTTAAATATGATTATAGTACCATTTTGCAATTGCATTTTACATTCTTACTCTAAAAAGCAGTGTAGTGAATCTTGTGAGTAAAACACTGGGGGCTAATTTATTGTACTTTGTGCTAACTTTTTACATTTACATCTCAGTATGTAAACAGATTTTTTCTACAGTTTAGGAATGTTGTGGTCGAAAACGAAAATGGTTTTGGTGAGACTATACATGTATCACTAACATATCATTTGTTTGATGAACAATCCCAGGAGGTACCACGGTTGATATAGAAACTTGTATACTGTAAAGAGGTTTATTATTCACTGGGTTTTAATTTTGCTTATTTCGCAGACTGAAAAATGCGGTAAATTAAAACCCAGTGAATATGTCAAATTTAGCACAGAATACATTATCTCAGTGATAAAACCGTAAATTTAAAACCCAGTGAAAATTAGTCATTTTACAGTAATTGCTTTTCATCCAATCAGAAAACACCTTCCTTGATTTCTAGGTTGTGATTTTTTTATGAATTTTGACTGAAGTGAAAATTATTTTTGATCAGTTTGAAACAAAACAATCAGAAGTAACTCTTTTCTCTGTGTTACTGATGAATTTATTGCAACTTTTTTCATACTGTGTATTTACCAGTAACCATGAAAAAAAAATGAATATTTGAAACTATATTATAGACGTATCCATAATTTACTAATCAATGTCTGATTAATACTCATATAGTTTTGCATGTACATTGCTCACCAGTATTTAGGTTATTATTCCTATCAGGGATGGGTAAATGACGATTGGCTTTACATAAAGTATCAAATTCCTCATATGTCATCAAGTTACTGTTTTCTCCTAGAACAATAAAAATAGTATTAGTTATGACAATAAATATAACACTAAATATTCACCACATGAACAGGTGAGAATCAACTATGTATTTATTTGTTATGTTTATATGCGACACCCAAAACAAATGGTCAAACTAATAATTCAAGACCGTGGTCAAATCGGTCTAAATCAAACATCTTCATAAATCATAAATAATATGAAAGAATACATTGTGACGTAATTTATATCTACACTAGACATTACATAATTGCATTTTCAAGAATGATAAAATAGGAGCAATAACCCTGAATGACATCCCAATGTAACCCAGATGGCAGTTCCTCAACCACAGAATAACACTCGTCAGCAAATTAATTTCTGTGATTGATTGCAAATATATATTTCTCAAACTGACTTGTATGTGATGTCAACTCTAAGCTAGATATCATGCAATTTTGTTGTCGCAGTGTTAGCTCATTCACTCACTGCTTGGTGAATATAACTGACTATTATTCTTTAGATAACTATATAAATACCTGTAGGTATTAAAACATAATAGAATGAAACACAAGACTATATTTTCTTACCAATGTCATGGTATTGTGCTACCATTGTGGATAAATGACATAACCATTGAACGGTCTTCAGCCAAGATCCGGTATAATTCACCAGAAAGTTGTCACATACTTTTAACCTAAGTAACTCATTCTATTAAATAAAAACACCAATTGAATCCATCAAATATGTTGTCACTAGTCAGCTGTTTTCAGGACGCAAAGAAAACGGGAAACACACCATATAATTTATACTAAAGACCAGCTTTGTTTCAGTCATTTATGCTTGTCAATTTTCAGTGACAATTCAGGAGAGGACAGAAAATAAATATTTTTTTTCAGGCTAGAATCATGATTCTCAAATAAAGTGACTATATCAGAGTAAGAAATAAAAATAAATATTTATTTGTGAAACATGATGCTTAAATTGGAATATTTACAGTACATGATAGGGTTACTGATTGATATTATTTTAATTCTCGCAAATCAACTTTCATTCTTTGTTTTGTTTTTGTTTTTGAACACTGGATGTTCAATTTAATTTGCATACATCATTGTGTACATTACTCCTTCACTGTCACCAGTGAATTTCCTCCTATCATTTTACATACATACATTGTATGAATAGTAGTACCATACAATACTGTCAACATTAGAATATTTGCATATGGAGAGTGCTCAGTGGTCTTTGGATCATCAACATTTGCATGTGATGTAAAGCCAATCAACAGCGTTGTACCACAAAATTGACTTTCATTTCGCTAGGAATTTTTCATGCTAGTTTCAAAGCCTTATATATTAGTGATTATTACATATGTACTGCAGTTTATTTTGATTCGTCCCTGAAATCAAAATCGGTATTCCCACACCTCATATGCAAATGAGGTCTGAGAGCAAACAAAGTAGTCCCTTTAGGAGTATCGTTTTTCAAAACATAGCAAAAATAAACAATATTTTCCCCTTGGGGTACATGAATTTACTTGCCGAAGGGAATGAAATTTGAACAACAGTAATGGTACTTTTAGGCAGTCACTTATTTGATCACCATGCAATAATGTTTTTGGTATTTTCACCGTCGATATGCAAATGAACATGGTATTTCCATTGGCTATCAAACTATTTTTATTTTGTAAACACATTTTCGCCGGCTATTTTTGTCTGGTTCAAATCGTTCAGCAACATTTTTGGCACATTAGTGTACATCACATGGAATACTACGATTGGGAGAACTTAATGCATGTTGACCACCTGGAAACTGAGTTTTATAAACTTTGAAGGGCTCTCAGAAGATCCACCAGCAGTAAAATCAGCGATTGCTATGGAGGCGCAACCATCAACTTCGAGATACCAGGAGGTTTCTGCTGGCGCCATTGCGGAGTTACTCAGTTCCAAATAAAGATTACAACGTTAAATGAGCAGCGTTTTAACTGGTAACCAAGACTCATTCAATCCACGGCTAGCAAGCAACATCACAAACGAAGTTGTAGCGTGCAGCTCAGTGAAGACCACTGTCGATGAAAGTCATCCCGTCAGTGGAGTACCACAGTTGCACGGCATGTTTGCCAAATTTATGCACAATTCTATGGTGGAACTTTTAACTTCAACATAAACTGTCATCCAGTTCAAATTCTGTCGTGACCCCAACTAAACGTCCACAAGTTATTTATTTGAACAGTGACTCAGATTAGACGTTAATATTATGACTATTTTATTTTCACACAGACAGTGACACGCGCTCTACACTGACACATGTTGCTAAGGCGTAACACTATTTTGGAACATATTAATGGGCAATAGGATTCCTCGACCTAAATGCCATCCCGGTTGTTGCACGTTCTTTCTTTAATATGAAATAATAACAGAACCCAAGACCCTCCCTGTGGCTTTCATTGGGTATGGAAGTTATTTTCACTCGAGATGTGGTGTATTCAACGCAGCAAAAAACACGAGGAGGGTGTGGGGTTCTGTCATAGTACCCTGTTGCCATGTTTTGTAAACTAGCAATTTCACCATTGTCAACTTTGGAGTTTGGATTAAAGAAACACTTAAATAGTCTGACCTAAAAGGTTTCTAGGAAGGGAAGTGTTATATCTGTTGAACTATACCATCAAAACATGACAACAATGTTACCTCAAGTGAAATCTGATTTTCAGGTGTTGGACGTATCTTCATATCATGAACAGATCCTTCTAGAAGGTAAAACAAATCACGTAGACCACTCATCTATAAATAAAATGAACACACCATGATTGAGATCATGCAAAAAGGGCAGTAACTATCAGTATTATGAAGTTTCATATTAAACAAGACATGACATATCATAGCCCCCGCTCAGAAAAAAATTTAAAAACTTATATTGTACTGAGTTGGGGTCAGAGTGAATTAATTCATTATGAGCTGTATTAAAATTCTGTTCAGAATTGATGTGTTACAATTTTAGGGGGTGGGATAAAAATATATTCATTTGGCTTTTCTGAGACAATTTATAACTTGTTAAACATATAATGCGATGTGCACTTGTAAACAATTATTACCTGTCCCTGTACCAACTTTGAACAAAACTGGATGACACGCATCTGAGAAAAAGCTGTTAACAGCTAGAAAAAGCT